GTAGTTTATCGTCACACCCAGGATGGTAAAATTGTAAGTTCGTTTAACTGTAGTGAGCTTTTCCATTTATGATTATTAAATACAATTTTAATTTAATAATATCACTTGACCGATACAAATTAATATAGAATTAAAAAAAAAAAACTAACTAAAATAAATTATAAACGTTTAAGTTAAAAACAATCTGGAAATTCTTGTAAAAAAAAAAAAAAAAAAAAAAATCATTATTCATCGAAAAATATTTTTTCTTCAATCACTAGTATCCATAATGTATTTTATTTAAAAAAAAGCTTTTCTAATTAAATAATGTCTTGGTTTTATTGCATTTTTTATTTTACAATCCAGAGCAGGATTTTCTCTAATTGGGGGTTTTGTTTGACTAAAGAAATTTGATGATTTAAATTTTCAGAGGATTTATAACCAATATAAGTGTTAAGCGGTACAAGAAAGAAATGGTCTAAGTTGAATAAAACTTATTGAGTTGGGGTGTAACATATGTAAAAGAAAAATTACAAAGATTTAAAAAAAAAAAAAAAATAAATAAATAAAAAAAAAAATTTAAATACAGTGGGACCTCGGCTCACGAATTTAATTCGTTTCTGAAGCCCGTTAGTGATCCAAAATGTTCGTTAACCGAGAATATTTTGCAATAGGGATTACTGTAAAATGGATCAATCCGTTCCTGGTCCCAAGATGATTGCTTACTTAAACTTTTGCAACACTACTTTGTGTACAAGCTTATAGACAAAACTAACGAAAATCATTAAATATAAGAATAAACCCAATACTTAACAGATCAAATATAGACGAATACTTTAAATTTTACCACATGTGTAAGTAAGAGAGTTGATGACGTAAATAGAAGACGTTTTGGAACGGGATGAAAAGAGATGTTATTGTTTGAAAAGGGGGAAAGAAAGACATGATCGTCTCTTTATAGATCGTTGATTTTGCCATACTATACTGAGTAGGAAGAGACAATATCAACAATTGTTTACCTCTCAACTTTCCTTTTTCCTTTAACAGTATCACTGCTAGTTTTCTTTGGAGCCATGACTAAGGCTTAATAAAGAGAAAAAAGGCACAGCAATAACATTGGAAAAGAAAAGCACAACACAACACATGAATGTATACAACATGGCGGTCGACTAAGAAATGATTCCGTTCGGGTTAACTCGGTTCAGTAATGCTGTTCGAGAACCGAAATTTTGTTCGTTAACCGAGGTAATATTCATCTCGAATTTTCTGTTCGAAAACCGATTTGTTCGACATGTAAGACATTCGTCAACCGAGGTTGCTCTGCAATTAAATTTCTCAATAAGCCCTGAATGTTTTATTAAAATTATATTATTTTTGCAGTAATTTCCAAATAAATATGTCTTTCATCGTAAAAAGACGTTCAAATATCCCGTACATGGTTATGGTCTCGTGTTGACGTCAGAAAAAACAAGATTTTTTTAAAAAATCAAAATTTACAAAAACGGTAACCCCCTACCCCCACCCAAAAAAAACCCCACCAAAACCTCTTACATAAAAATTCTTTTGATCTTCCAACTTAATAAATTTTAATAATAAAGGTTTTTTACGATAATTTTTTTTTTTTATGTTTTGTGCATTTTTTCATCATATATTCTGTTTTAGCGAATCTTTGGAAATAACCAAACTAGAATAAGTAACAAAGTAATCGTTTTAAGTTCTCTGAATATGTTAATTTTAAAACCGCTTTTCACGGGGATTTTGTGTCAGTCCTGTGCATCATAGTATGTTTGATCAGCCGCAATGAGAAACAATGACTTTTATTACGAGATAAAAAAAAAGTAAATAAAATAAAAAAAAATCAGGTGTGGGGAGAGTGGGGAATAGTATTTCAGGTCAAAATAATGTAGAACCATACGAAATCAAAACTTTCGACGATTCGACAATGGATTGATTCGATTCCCAAAATTTAACCAGACAGATATCTTTTTGAGAGGGATTATTGGTTAGACCGAGAACTTTTCTGTATCCCTCATAGATTCTGATTCCCGTCAATAAAACGTTTATCTTCCTTAATTTTTTAAGTTAAACAATTTTAAAGCTTTTTTTTTTTTATCCCGCTTTATTTATTTTAAAATCATTTCACCCCAAGCAAGGTGATAATGTCACTAAGATGTGAAGGGATAGTGAAAGAGAATGAGAAGCCTTTAACAGGAACCAGAAACCAATCCTAAACAGAAAACAAGGGATAAACCTCTACTCCTGTTCAAAAGACTGGAGAGATGTGCGGACCGGAAGATATTTTTGTAATGAAATGTAAAGACGGGATATATTTTTGTTTATTCTTTAAATAACGTATGAAAACATTTGTATTATCTTTTTTTTCAAATTGACATATGAAAGTTTAAAGTTTTAACTTAAAAACAAAACACAATATAAGTTGTCAGAGTTTATTTATCGGAGTCGACATCATCCCTTGGCTGTCTAAAGTCAGTCAATATTTTTACTGGGCGGGAGTTTTTTTTTTTTTTTTTAAATTCTTAAGTACTTAGATGCCATGATTTTCGGACCAACCTTTTTATTATTTCTATTTATTTAAATAAGATTTTTTTTCTTGGATATTTTCTGTCATCTATTGAGCGGAATTCCCGACTTTCTTTGGAAAAAAGAAGGAAAAAAGAAATAGGAACTATTAATGGTCGACTGCTATTTTAGAACTTACAAAAAAAGTATCAGGCAGTCGATTTTCAGGCTATACTATTATTTTGGCTATATTATTATTAACCGAATATTATCACACGGGTGACACTTTTCCCCCTAGGGAAACATTTTTAGCAAGGTGGTAGGGAATTGGGTATCAAATCATGAAATTTTTATGATCTTTTGAAATAAGGATTTTTTTCATTTACTGCAATTAATAAGTTTTCGCTCATAAACAGTTTCAATTAATTATAACCAAAAATATAATTAATTCGCGGTAATTCAATATTGGAGAAGAAAGTTTGAAACTAAAAATCGCAAGAAGAACGAATGTCCCTTGCGAATCTGGGAAGGGCTCTTGTAACCTATAGCCTGACAAGGGCTATCCAGCTACATACTTATTGGGATATGGGCAAGAAGAGCGTTTATTGCTCTACATGCTGTAGAGAGTGTTCCAAAATAAATAACTGATAAAATTAAAAACACAGGAAAAACTTAACCCCGCCCCCAAAAAACAGAAATAAAACTGAAAAACCCAGAAAAACTGGAAAAATAAAAAGCTACCCCCCAGAAAAAACAAAAATACAAACTGAAACCCCCCAGAAAAACTGGAAAAATAAAAAGCTAAAAATCAGAAATTAAAGACAAAAATATAAAAAACAGAAATAGAAACAAAAATATAAAAAAAAAACAAATAAAAAAGTAAAAAAAAACAGAAAAAACAGAAATAACAAACATGTAAAAAACCCCAGAAATAACAAAAATTAAAAAAAACAGAAATAAAAACAAAAATGTAAAAAAAAAAACAGAAATAAAAACAAAAATGTAAAAAAAAAAAAAAACAGAAATAAAAACAAAAATGTAAGAAAAAAAAACAGAAATAAAAACAAAAATATATAAAATAGAAATAAAAACAAAAATATATAAAACAGAAATAAAAATAAAAATATATAAATCAGAAACAAAAACATATAAATCAGAAATAAAAACAGGAAAATTAAAAAACAAAGTAAAATAAGGAGAAACAGAAATAAAAACAGAAAATCGCAAAGAAAAAAGAAAAAAAAACAAATGATTAATTATAATCTTGTGGGTCTTTTGGAAGCTGCGCCTCTTTTTCTTTGGCTACTTGTTTTGGGTGGTGCTTTCGTCTATGAGTGCCGAGACTACCCTTAGTACGGAACTCTCTCGAACAGTCGGGACATTTGTGTGGCTTGAGTCCAGAATGTATTAACTGATGTACTAACATGCCGTAGTGCTGTGTGAATCCGCGACCGCACGTCGGACACACGTGTCTACGCTCAGATGAATGCGTCCGTTTGTGGCGTAGAAGATGAGCGTTGGAGACAAAAGACTTGTCACATTGGTCGCATAGGAAAGGACGCACTCCGGTGTGATTACGTGTGTGATACAACAACTCTGAAGGCTTTTTGAAAGATTTCGAACAATAGCTGCATTGCAACGGTGGGCGATCGACTGCGGGTCGTTTGGATAGTTTTTGCTTACTGTTGCACTCGTCACCGGCTCTCAGGGAACCTTCAGTCTTTAGGGACGTAGCAAAGTCTTGGTCAGAAGACGATCCATCGATTGTTTGTCTGTTACGTCTCAATGCTCCACTGATGATTAATTTTTCTTTGTTTCCCACTTTCCTGTCGGCTGACAGCGCCAAATCATTTTCTGGGTCCAAAGATTTTTTTCTTTTTTTCACTTTCTGCACATCGAAGGGAAAGTAAACTTTGCCGTCTTTGGAATTAAAAACGTCAAGATCTGTCTCGGATTTCTTCTTACGTTTCTTCGTTTTAGGCTTAGAACTGCCAGTCTCGCCAACCTTGATTAGTAAGCTCTCGTCTACAGTAATTTTAGGCTCTTGCATTAAGTTTGTATGGCACGTCTTTGAGTAAGAAACGCTGTCGCTAAAACGTTCATCTTCCGAGTGTACGTGAATTTTAGCTTCAGTAAGGAAGGACTGATTGGTCTTAACCCGTTTTCTTTTCTTTATTTTCGGAACTTCGACAGCGCTTTCTGTTAAGTTTTTGACGCTATTTGAAAACCCTGGCGAGCTCTCCGATCTTTCGGTCTGAGATAAAATCGAAAGTTTGCCGACGTGAGAATCTAAGATTTCGGCTAGATTTGTTGTTACATCTTTCTTAATTCCTCGATTCATTGTAGATTTCCCGTCCGTTTTTGGTCTTTGACTTTTGTCCGATTTACTTACACCGGAAGTAATAGATGGGCTTTGACCTTTCTTTGATTGGGGACAGGGCAAGTCGTCCAGATTCCGTTCAGGTTCCCGTTTAATCTCTCGACCCACAATTTCTTCATCTTCATCTTGTGACATAATATCGAATATATTTTTCTCTTTTTCGCGCTGACTTCTTTCGATTACGATGGCGTTTCTTCTCTTTTGCAAGGCAGGATTTTCGAATTATTATCTTATTTTCAAAACCAACCTGTTCGATTTTGAAAGTTCGGCTCGGTTTTTTCTTTCTCGAATTTAACGGACTTGGCATTTTAACTTCAAAGATCCTGCTCAAGCCCTGACATTCATCCATCGGCACTCTCCTTTGATTTTCCTCTTCACTACTTTGACTACTGTTGCCTCTATGGCTACTATTACTACTACTGCTGTCATCGGAGTCATTTGCCCCAATCGGACAGCGGATAGTTTCGTCGACGCCCTCCAAGAGTTCTGTTTTTACTTTCATTCCTTTGCAGTCTATTGACCCGAAGCCACCATCTAGGGACTGTGTGATCTCCCCGTTAGAGTCTTTCTCGATATTTTCAGAGCCACTTTCAACGGACACGGAGCACACGGTATCAAGTCTTTTAGTGGCCGCATTGATTTCGGTAATCTTTTCTATCAGTGATCTGAGGCGTTCCTCGGAGCTGTTTGCTTCCTTCGGTGTTTGAGACGCTTCAGTCCCATTTTCAGCTTGGACCCTTTCGAAATATCCTTCTTTGGAAATATCATATTGGTCTCCGTTATCATTTGCTTTTGTCTGCAGATTAGTATCGGATTGGTTACATTGGTGCTTTGCCCTAACTTCCGTTTGATTGACACAGATGGCATTATTGGCTGAGGAACATCGGCCGCCATCTTTTTTACTCAATGCGATTCGTTTCTGTTCCTGGTTAAAGGATTTGGAAGATTCTAGAGGTTCGCTTTTATTATTTGAGACATCTCTCGTAAAGAATTTACTCACCTCTTTAATGGTTTGGACCGAATCAGAATTTAGAATTTCGGAACTTATATTTAACTCTTTTGAGGCTTCTGTATTATGGATGGGCGATTTGGGAAGAGGAGGAATCTTAAGATTTGGAACGAAATCTTTGAATGAAATTCTAGTTTTTGAAACCTTTCCGTCGCGATTAAATTCTTTAGGCGAGGATGCCCAGCCTGTTATAGTGGTAGACTTAGAAGCCTCGTTTCTAGTTAAAGAATTCTTTTTTGTACCACTTTCGTCTTCTTCAGATGAGGATTCGCTCTTTCTCGCCTGGCATTCTTCAGCCTTCTGCTGATCATTGCCGTCTGGACGTGAATCGTAAATGCCGATAAGTGGAGCTTTAGCGACGCTTTGAAATAAATGGCAAGTCGCCAAATCCCGCCCTTTTTTCTTTTTCAGCGTTCCTCGCTTTATCTTCTTGTTAGACTTCTTCGGTTTCCAACTGTCATCAGAGTCCCCCAAGCCGCTCATAATCAGTTCGAAATCGCTAAATTCGTCACTGTCCGAGTTTGGGTGCACATAAAAGTCTTGCCTTCCTGAAAGATAGTTGACTGTATCAGTGCCCATGGACGACTGTTTGAAAGACACGTTTGCAACTGAAGATTGCTCATCAAACTCTTCAGGCATTTTCAGACTTGACGGTTCGTCACAGTCGTCCAGAATTTTAGCCGTATCACGGCTTTCTTCCTCGGTGACGCCGGTATCAGTCCAGAATTTGGAGATTATTTTCTGAGGGCATTTGTCTATCTTTCGAGGACGTCCACGCTTCTTCGGGATGCAGGCTCTTTTGGGTTTGATGATCTTTGAGCGATTCCTGGTTTTGAAAGACATTGTGAGATCCCTGAGCTGTTTTTCCACGGTCTTCTCTTTTAAACCAGAACCATCATCACAACAACCACAAGAACATCTAGTGGCACCAATCCCCGCCGAGGCCGCTTTTCTAGATGGTCTCCGCTTATTATTTTCTTCCTGCTTTTCAGTATCCACAGACGACATCGTATTTATCTCATTGAGGTTCTCAACTGTCGTTTCGGGGTCGCCCCCGGAGATCACAGCTTCACAGATAATTTCTTCGTTCGGGTTAAAATCCGAGGAATAGTCATTGCTTTCAATTTCGGGACCACTTTCCCAGCAGGTGGCCGGTTTGTCAAGTGGTTTCGATTGAATGCTGTGCAGGTTTTTCGAAGTACCATCTGTCTGCTTGTCGACTTCATTGAAAGGGTCCTCGCGAAAAACTGAGGACAATTTTTCGTCGTCTCCAGATTCGGAACCCAGGCCGATGACGTAATCCCCGGTACTCTCTTCTACAAAACCGTCGTCGCTCGACAGCGGCCGTCTCGACTCAGCCTCTTCTTGATCTTCTTCGATGCTCATTTCGGATTTACGCGACTTGGCAGGCAAATTCGAAACATTCCTGCTCTGTTCCACGAAATAATTGCTGCTCAATATGATACGAAAGCCTGAAGAATTCGTGCTGTTACTAGAAGAACAGTGCTTCCATTTTGAGGGCGATTTAAGAATATCTAGCTTTCTATTTGTCGTTTGCTTACAGTCGGTTTCCATTGCATAAGTTTCGTTATTGTAAACAACTTTATTTTTCAAGCTAGCACTCTCCTTCTCGTGGGTTTTGCGTTTTCTCCGTTTCTTCAGAACCTGGGATGGATCTTTGGAAGTTTCACACTGGGTCTTTTTTCCATGTTTCCGTTCAGCTTTTAGCAATGGTGGACCGTTTGCCTCTTCGCAGTCAGTCGGCGTTGGTAAAGAGAGTTCGTTACCAACATCACAATCGCTTTTACTCTTTCCCGTATTTTTCGCCGGCCCTTGACACACGTCCATACCGCCACAGATGTTCCTGCTGAGCGCCTGCTTGATATTACGGTACTCATCGGCCCGGCTGCTCAAGATGATTTTCACTATTTCCGCGTAGTTGGAGCTGAAGTCATCCACGTCGATCGTGTTCTCACCGCTACCGGAGTTACCTTGAATGTCCGACGCGTCGATGTCGGGATGAAATTCGAACTGGTATTCGGAGCCCTGGCTGTCAAAGTGGACTGCAGTATGGTCACTTGTTTTCTTGTTCTCGGGGGTTAATTCCTCGGATTCTGTTTCGGATCTATTAATCAGTATAGCTTTTATGCGACCATATCTCTCAGCGCCGCAATTCAGCAAGCCTTGAACGATGTTCGCATAGCTTATGAGAAAGCTATCGAAGTCAGAGTCGGCCTTTGTCAAATATTTGCCGATCGCTTCGAAGCAGATCCTGGCGTTTTCCACAATCGTGGGACCGACTTTACGCGGGTTCACCTTCTCCCTGTTAAACGGAAAATGGGTGATTTGTGGCGGCAGGGGAGGTGGAGGCGGCAGTGGGAGCAGAGGTGACGAGAAGTAAGGTTGCTGGACAGAGTACCGTGATGTTGCGGGTAATTTTTGAGGTTGTCGATTGTCGACAGCTGTGTTATCGGTATTTTCGGCCTGTTCCGATTCACTCGAGTCAATTCCCTCTCGATTCCGAGATTTCTCGATCGATTCGAAATTCTCGCTCGGGACGTTTCCAGTTTGAATCGTGCACTCTGGTCGCGTTTTCGGCGCTTCTGGCGTCAATGATCTCGCGGGGCTTCTGTCTACGGACGGTAGGTCGTCGGCGAGACGTGTTCGGACCACTTCCATCATACTAGGTAACCGTAAAGTGGCACCAGTTGTGACCGTCTCATCTTTATGCCCCGATAATTCCGTCGATGTTTTTAGTTGGTTGTTAACGACGGATTTGGACTCTTCAACCATTTCAAGGTTTTCCGAAACCTTAACGTTCATTACTTCGAATTTTGATTCGTTTGAGGTCTCTGTTTGTTTGCAGTTGGAATCGATACTGGTGTTAGTAGAATCAGCTGTTGCTACCAGCTTTGTACTGTTGTTGGTAGAGCGATTAGAATAACGTGTAAATAAGTCGTCATCTGGGCCCCAGGTTGTAGTTCCCGAATATGGTGTCATACATTCTTTCTTAGACAGTTTCTGAAAGGCTTTACCGTTCTTTGGCTTTTGCTGCTTCAGATAAGATTGTCGCCATAAACTCCGATTCATCCTCTCTTCGAGCTTCATCTTTAATTCCATATAAGCCTTCATTAGCATTTCCTCCCTAGAAAGGGCTTGATCCTCTTGGGAAACGCCGTCTTTTCCAGACTGTGTATCCATTCCAGCTAGCACGGAACTGTCCAAAGCGGAATCAGCATTTTCGGAACGTGCGTCGAACTGAAATTCCTTCATCTGGTCGGAATTTTCTTTCTCTTCGCTTCTGGAGATCGATTCAAGACATTTCGTCACGGCATCGATTACTTCTCGATCACTTAATTCGTGTTGAGCTTTGGTTATCGAAGAAGGGTTCCCGGACGTTTCTTCGGAAACCAGACAACTTTCATTAGAAGAGTCCTTAGAAGACTTATCTGACTCGGCTGGATTTTTTCCGTTTTCAAGATCTACTCGGACTTCCGGTTCTGTTGAAGATTTTCCGAATGTATTCTTCGCGTTCTGCTTGGATTCAAGAGACACAGCCGGAGAACTCATTGAAATCTGTTTTGGGAACTCGACCACCTCTTCTGGAAGTTTTACTCCGAGAGTGCCAGTTACAATATTTAAAGATCCTGTCTGGTTGGTATAGTTTGCATCATTGACGCTAAACTGTGGTGCCAAATTTTGAGTAGGTGCAAAAACCGTATTTCCAAGAGATTTATTCTTTGGCGGTCTTCCCCGAGGTCTTGGTGGTCCTTTTAATATCGGAGTTTTCTTTTTGACTTTTTTAGCAGCTTCTTCTTCTGGAAGGAGGCCCGTTAGTGAGTGATCTTTTTTCTGCCGGTTTCTTTTCTTGACCGCGGTACCGTTCGCATCGTCATCCAGATTTAGTCCCCTTTTATTAACCCATTTCTTTCCAGATTTGTAATCATTTATTGGTTTGGCCAGCTGAGAGGCGGTCTTCGAAGTGCACAGGTCAGAAAATCTCTTCAGTATAGAATCATCCGGGTAACCATCGATGGGCCTAGCAACACCTAACCCTGTTTTCGAAGAAGGGGTCGATATGCCCGCTCCCGGGAAATAACCGAGGAGAGATTCATTTGGTTGATTTGCAAACGGAGCCAGGTTTTTACCGTCACCAACGCCGGTAGTGTAATATGACCGCGAGGGTGGGATTTGATTGTAATGCATCTGAGGCAAGGGAATATTTGTTAAAGAAGATGCCATACTTTTATCATCCGGGATGTTTGAGAGGGGGGTCAGCTGTTGTTGAGAAGTGAGATTAGTGTGACCCGGATCGACAGGATCCAGATTTTGAGGAGCCTGGGCTTCGCGCGAACTGATCATTGCCATGGTGAGCGAAGCGGCATCCTCAAAACATTGGTCAAACGCCGAATTGTTCTCAGGAAAATAGTCAAGGTCATTCGTCAAGAGACTGGACGTGAATAAAGGGTCAAAATCTGAAAAAAGAAACAGTTCTTCGCTGGTCATTCCAAGATTTGGGTGGCAAAGAGCATTGGTCAGCAAATCGCTCGAAGTGGTCGAAGTGGTAGAAGCTGTAGTCGGATTTAATACCTGCGTAGATTTCCCTATGTCTGCAGTCCTTTCTCGGACTTTTGGACAGAGGTCATTCGCAAAATTATAGTTCTGAAATTTCTCGCCGCTTGCTAGCTTCGAGCCGCCTGTTTCAGAGCATTGGACGGGAAACTTCATGTTTTTGTCTTGAACCTCTACTTTCCAAGTGGCTTGATCGCCCGCCATACTGGTGGCGATTTCTTGAAAGTATTTACAATTTTCAGCTTTGTCTCCTCCATCGTGGTTATCTACTCGGAATCTGTCAAAATTCTGCCCAGTTGCGCTTGCGTTGTAAGTGGTTGCAGCATTACTGCTTGTCGGAATAGAATTTGACGTATTTTGAAGGTTTGAGGTCTCCTGCGAAGTGTTAGAAGGTGGAAGAGGTTGTTGGGTATAGTTATTGTACGACTGGGACGCGTAATAGTGAGAATGCATGTTGCCCTGAAGCTGGAAGTTTAACTCTGTAACGTTTCTTTCTTCGTGAACAGGGTCGTAATTACTGGTGACCCTCTGCGACGCATTTACTGGTCTAGTGGGGTTAAAGCTTTGAGGATAATACTGCGACCAGGTCAGAATACCATTCGAATTGTTTGGGCTATAAGACATCTGGTCCTTGTTAGCGTCAATAGCATGTGCATCTTTACTGGAGATTGGACGGTTTTGATATGCGTCAGGTGCAGGAAACCGGGTCCCAAGTTTAGAACTATTTGAAACACTTGGTTGAGTCGGATATTTCGTTAAGGCGTGGCCTTGGTGGGCTACGCCTAATTCAGGAATGTTGTTTTGAGATCTCTGTAGGCCTGAGTGTTGACCTGTGTCCAGTAATGGCCCTTTCCTGTTTGACGAGTCAGCGTTTTTCTGAACCTCTTTAGTCAATGACAATGAAGATGTTGACGTTGTGGTTGTTGTTGTTGTGGCGGTTTTTATTTGCCCTTGAAAATTGGGGATTACTGGATTTGGGGTACTGCTTATAGAATTCGCAAGACGCTGAGTGTGTCCATTATGCGAATTGGAACTGTACATATTCTGGGTCTTTGCGGGAGGTATTGGATTAGGACGCGAATAACCTTGTGTGTTTGGTACCGGAATGCCTTGATTGTAATGCTTAAGTTCTTGGTATTGGTCGTAAGAACTGTAGAAATTGGAGCTGTTGACTTGGTTTTGATTGAGAAACGGTAGGTTCGAATGAGAGGAATTTGAAAGCCTTACTTTCAATTCGTCTCCATTTTGGCTGACATGTGGTTGATAATACTGGTGTCCCGATAACTGTCCCCTCTGTATAGAATTCTGGCTGACCGGAAACGAAATATTATTTTCTCTGTTCAAAAACATATCGTTTTGATGCGAAGGTAGGGGTTGTCTAATCGTATTGTAAGTTCCTGGAACATTCTGTAAAATTTCTTGATGCTTACTGATAGCGTCATTGCTAACGGCCGAATTTGATCTTTCTCCTGGGTTTGGCTGTCCGGCTAGCAAATTAAGGCCTCTGTTTGAAAACTGATTTTTGTATAGATTTGTGTCGTTTGTAGAGCTAGGTATCGAATATAAATTACTGCCATTGACTGGGTTTGGGTGGGCATTTTTAGGAGCTTGTTGATAAGTGGAAAGAAGTCCTTGAGTGCTATATTGTTGAGTGATTGTTAATTTGTCAGCACCTGTTGTTTGGTCTCCACGTTGCGGCCACATCAAGAGATACGGTGAGCCAAAATGAGTGACGTTCTTTTGAGTCGACTGCGCAGAAAAAACGCCCTGTCTTTCAGTTGGTAATGCGTTGTTATTGGCAATGCTTGCCGCCGTAGTCTTTGTTCTATTGCACATGTGCCGTCTAATATTACTGTTATCCGGGTAAAAAACGTACTGCATCGAAGATGCATCATACCTTGCGTAACAAGTACGTTGATTATGGGAAAAACCGGAATTTATTGCTGGCGCCGTTGGAAACGAAAAACGAGATTCAGCTTCTAAAGTTTCTTTGTTTTTTGGCGCGGTTGATAATCGAAGCGGTTGCGCACTTGACTGGTTGAGATGTTCGGCCATATTCTGAATCCCTGGATGAATTAGGTTTGTCGTTTTAAAATTGCTCGGGATGGATTTCGAGCATGTAGTAATGACGTTTGAGGGTGACTTGTTGGTACTCGTTTTGTTTAGATTAGTATTGTATTGGTGAACCGAAGTGGTGGGTTTCATTTCGTTTAAGGATTTGTTTTGCGACGGGGCCCGTCCAGAATTGCCTAAATAAACAGCTGTTCCATTTTGGAACGAGGAAGATTCATCGCTTTTTCTTTGAATGGCAGGTGGCAACGTTTTATTCGGTTCGGACAGATTTTCTCCCGAGATAAGATTTTGTCCCAAAGGAGTGGATTGGGAACGAGTCGAGCGGTCTGTAGGTATTTGAGACAAAACAGACACTGATGATTTTTTGAGAAGTGCTTGTGGGGAATTTAAATCTGGACATTGTTTGCTAACGTTTAGAGTAGGATTGGTCATTCTATTAAACATTTTAACGTTATTTTCTGTATGACATTTATAGGCCTCACCACTATTCGTGATCGTCACTGGTTGGGTAGATGGTGCAAATGTATTCGTTTTGGAATTTTCAGTCTGTTCTCTGACCTCTCCAGAATCATTCAAATTCTGGCAGATTTTGCTATTACTAGATGTTGATGCTAAAGGCAAAGCAGGTTTCAAATTGTCACTATCAGGTTTTTGAGAATTTGGAAGAAAAGTTTCAGGAACTTTCCCAGTTGGATTCGATTTGTCCCATTTAGGTTGAAAGTCTATAGAAACTGTCCGATTCTGTGGTGCATCCTGTTTAGCGAATGTGGTGGTATTTTCCATTTTTTTATCCAATTCTTCCTTATTGGCATCGGAAATTTGGCAGGTTTCGCCCATTGGTTCCCGATTTTTGGGACGAAGGTCCACACCATTGTCAAACTCTTTTACGGAAAGGCTAACTGGGACTTTTAAATTATTTGGCTCTTCTTTGTTCACTAGGCCGCTGTTGTTTTGGTCAGAGTTCAATTCCGGTAATTTTCTAGTCACTTCAGCGTCCTCTTGTTTGTGGAGATTTTCAGGAACGTCATCTTTAGTCTGTATTTTGGTCTTTTCGTCTTCATTTCCATCCCTTCGGCTCGGCAATTCCAGATTTTCTGGAACTTCTGAATCCGTTAACTTATCCTCGCGTCCGTTTTTATTTTCGGGGATTGTAATGTCCGGAACTTTTTCTTCGCCATTCACAGTCTTCAGGTTTGGGCTGATCATTCCCTGATTGCCCTGGCGCGATGAATCAGTCTGGTTCCAGCTTTTGTTTTGTTCGGACAAAAGATCCGCCGGCCCTTCTTGGGCTCCGGCGCAAGATTCTGGTAAATTTTGGTTTGAATTTACCATTGTAGCGGATTCTGCAGAAGCTGTGGAATTTTCGGTGATACCTTCGTTATTTACAGCTACTAGATTCATTTTGATTCTGTGTTATCAATTAATAATGAGTTAGCGTAAGTTTAACGTAAAGAAAAATGGTCCCTTTTCGACAAAGGAAGAATTTGTCCAGGTTAAAAAAAAAAAAAAATTGCAATAAGGATTTAAATGTTAAATTATTTACTCGCAGTCTCTTAATTTTTTGAGCGCTGCGATCAATTTTTTTTTAACATAAAAGATGTTATTTTTAATACGCAAACACAGCAAAAACCCCCAAAAAACAACAAAAAACCCCCAAAAAAAACAAACAAAAAAATTAGAAAGAAATGGATTAATTCAACAAAGTTAACTGCCGATTTTCGGCTGGAATGTAAACATGCGCAAATAATACGCAAAAAAAAAAAAAGAAAAAAATTATCGAACTTTTTTGAATTACGATAAAAATTGAGTGAGTAATAACATTATAGCGATTATCTCCGACAATATTAACAAAATTATTATTATTTTAAATAAGAAAAACAAATATATAAAAGGATAAGGTGAAATTAGTAATTTAATCAAATAAATAAAGGTGTTAAAAATAAAGAAAGAAATGGTTCTTTTTCACGGCTTAAAAAAAAAAAAAAAAAAATAATGTTACCGGACAAAAATATAACGCCAAATATTAATTGTAGATGGCGTCTGCAAACTGCAAAGAAAAAGATCGATACAAATCAATTACAATTTTAGCATCAATAAAATGAGAGTTACTTATTAATACTTCAGTTAAGCTTGTGGGATTGCACCAGTTTGTCAATATGCCCACTAGGTGTCGTTGACTATAAAATCAATGGACCTAAATCCCTTCTTTATCTCTTTTTATGTCCACAATATAACGACGACATCGAAACTAGATTTGTCTTGCCGGCAAACCGACTACATAATTGTGCAAATTAATTGAAACAACCACTTTAGATTCCTTTCTTTCACCATACGGTCAGTTTTAGACGCTCTGGAGTGACAGAGTGTGATCAATTCCTATTTTTTTTCCTCAGATTAGGTCACTTGCAATAAGTGTGTAGTTTTACGAATCTATTTTCGGTGTGTATGATGAAATTTTTTTGGCCTTGAAAAATATTGCGTCATCTCTAATTGCATCAGATTTTTATCCCGCCCAAACACTATTGTCTCGACTGTCGATTAGTTGTCCTACAGCCATTGTCTGCGATGGACGTTACTCAAGGAAGCGTATGAAAATGGTAACGCTGCACGAAAACGCTGGCAAGCCTGACCAATGAACAAATCAAAGTACTATAGACTGGCCCGGAAACTCTCCCGATTTAAATCCAGTCGAGAATCTGTGGTCAGTCTGCAGGGGACGATTTCGTGGGATGGACATACGAAGTACTAACATGTGCAATTGGTCATATTTCATTGGAAAATACAAAAAAACAAAAAACATAACAACAACAGTAAGTAATAACGGAATTATTCCATTTGTTTTAATTAATTTGCACAAGGGTGTAGTTAATTTCAATAATCATCACACTGTATTCAAAATGAATCTACTAACGAAAAAACAGTCTTCCTGCCCCCAAGGACAATGTACAGAGGATGAGGATGGCTATGCTGATGACTTAGGCATTCAAACTCGGGACATGACTACCCTCTACCAAGTATTTTCAGAGTTAGGGCTAAAGATAAAAGTTTTCAAAACCGAAACAATGATTTGGAACTAGAATGACAGCAGTGATGGCGCGTACCCTGAATCCTTCATAAAAATTCCAGAATGAATAAATACTAAACACTTCAAATACCTCTGTGTATAGATCAATTACAACAAAGCAGGAAGACTGTTTTTCGTTAGTAGACTGATTTTGAATACCGTGTGATTTGGAGAGGGAAATTAACAGGGGATAACTGATAACTGACATTAAAAACATGGCGCATAGAACTAGAACAATCTACCCCAGTGATCGAAATAAAGGGTTCAATTCGACCTTTCAACCACCGGAAGAAGGCCGGAGTATAGAACATAGTCCGAATAATGTAAATGGTGAAAAAAAATTGAGTCATGTTCTTAAACAGGGTTTCATGAATGGCGTCAAACTCGCTCAGAAATATGTAAACTTGTCAGCGATATAAAACCGCTTTCTCGGGTCAATGATGAAAAATGGCTTCAAGTGAATGAAGCATGTAGGTTTTAGCAAGGACCACTCCTCATGGAGCCTTGCTGATTGGCGCTATAGAATCACAAAGAACTGTAGCAAATAACAGAATCCACGTCACTTGAGGGCGCTCAACATCAATAACAACGGCTAAAAATGGATAGAACATGTAACTCGACAAAAAATATTGGTAATGATAGTAATAGCCGTTTCATTATAAGGAAAAGGCCGACATTCATTAGCCGAGGAGCCAGTGCTACTGTCGATTTTTTTTTTTTCTCTTAATTTTGAAGGAAAACAGATTTCTAAAAGTCCAAGAGTGGTTAATACTCTTTCTACAAGGTGGTCCGAAAGTCATGTCACGCCCAACCCCTTGAAGCCGATAGATCTTTTTGAATATTTTCCATTATAATCTACAGGGTGGTCCGAAAATAATACATATATATATATATATATATAATATATATATATAATATATATATATAATATATGACAATGAGAGAAAACATTTTAAACCATCTTCAGGACATATTCATAAATTATAACATTATCAATTCAACATGACAAAGACGATGTACATAAGAACAAGACTTATCCAAACAGATAACTAAAAGTTTTATAAGATCAGCGCTCCGTTTAAAACATGGTCACGTTGTCGTCAAATTTTAGGAATACGTTTTCACAGCGTCGCCCACGTGACGACAACGTGACCATGTTTTAAATGTGTTATGAATATGTCCTGAAGATGGTTTATTAGACCGAAACGTCCGACGCTGATATTAACATTAAAACAGCATAATTGTATATAAGGATTTTTGTTTGTTTTTTTTGCCGTATATATTTTTCTTCATATATATATATATATATATATATATATATATATATATATATATATTAGTTGACATTTTTATCTTTATTTTACAAAAAAAAAAAAAAAAAAATGAATATCAAAACATAAAAAGTAATAAATAAAAGAAGCAGTTTATTAACACAAAAACAAAAATTATATATCCTTAATGTTTCCAAATGATTCCTTAGCATGGTTCGGACTTTGGCCGTGTACCGGAAGCTGATGGTTCGCGAACCGGCAACGGTCCGCGGATTACCACTTTGAGTAGCACTAATCTACCCCTTCAGCGTCATTTAATTTCTGAGAGTGTTTTTTTTTTTGTTTTTGTTTTTTTTGTTATGATTCTTTGATGTTGATGCAAAAAGGCAAATCAAGCTTCAAGCTGTCAAGAGTTGTCTTTTATATTTACCCGTTTGCCAATTTGCTAGAAATTGTTCCGGGAACATTCGGTATTGGTTTGTTCCATTTAGCAAGACTCTTTGCTGGAACCTCTTTACCGATTAATCGTTTAACTCTACCCAGATTTCATTTATTTAAAATAATAAACACTTTTTTTTTAAAAAGTACCTTTAATTTAGATTGCATCTGTGAATGGCCCACACATTCAATCTAAATTAAAACGTACTTAACGAACCTCCAGTTATACTGGCAAGAATCCATTTCTTCGCCAGCAAATTTATATTCCGTCAAATTTGGTCTTTTTTTTTTTTTTACTTTATTAACAACGTATGCGATAGCATTCTATTTACACAAAAATAACTGCAAGTTCTTTCTTTATATTCAATTTTAAGCAATATCAGGCTCGAGAGCTACTCAAGGGAGAGGGTTACGGCAAAAATGTTAATACTAAACGAGGCGTGCGAATATAAATAGAAGAGAAGATATTAAGAAATCAAGGAAAGAGATTGGCTCTTGATTTGAAGCGGTCATGATTGAAGTGGTCAAGGAAGTACTCACGGTGGTGGAGGAGGGGGGGCGAGGAAGCTTGTCTGAATTGAACCGTCTCATCCTTTTTGCAACATGGAGGAAATGAGAGTGATTTGAATCCGTGGAAGTGGCATAGCGTGCCCTAGCAAATTTGAGTAATGTTTACGTAGACACGATAAACAAAGCGTATTCGAATTTAGCCTAAATCTATAATACTGTAAGACTAAATTTAAATAGAAGGTGGGGGTCTTATATACTATTAAATTCAGTTATTTTTCAAAGAATTTCAATGTATCATCGCACAAAAGACACTAAAATTTCCTATATTCATTTTTGTTTTCCCGTTTTTGCAAGAAAAAAATTAACCCAAATTTCGAACGTTTTAAAAAACAAAACAACCCCCCACCAAAAAAACATTGTTCTTTCCTCTTAATAGTAATAAAGATTATGTTGATAAAACTTAGAGTAATTTTTCATTGTGTATGCTCATTTTTTAAGTAAACCTTTGGATGTAGCTAGTCAAAATGAATTAGATAGACACAACAGTAAAATATTGGTTGAATAACATCATGCTTCCACAACACTGATCAGTCGCCGGTTTTAAGTAAGAACACATTTTTTACTTTTGGGGGGGGGGTGGACCCTATCGTGCGTCACACTGAGTAGTCTCGTGGGTCGTATGCTTTCCAGTTGGCCATATTTTGTTCAGGTCTGTTCTAGACCTTCGGCATCTGATCAAAATGGTAAATTGACAACGCCGGACTAAACAGTTAACAATAGACAGATGCTACACTTTTAATCCGGGACGAGTGCGAGTAAGACGAACGAGAAAATAATCAATTCTATAAAATATGACCAAAAACGTCCGGCCAATCTAAGAAAGAAAAGTCTAAATTCCAAACCGTGATGACTGCAACGGGAATGCATTCCTCTGTCTTTTACAAAGATTCATAGTAATTCGCGGACAATAATGTAAAAGAATCTGTGGACAGTTTTGATCGCTTCCGTCATTAAGGGGAAGGTCATTAAAAGAATTATATAATGGCGGT